GTTGAATAACTGGAGTGTAATTATCCAAGTAAGCAACTTTCCATATTGGTCTTGTATCATATGTGTATGCTAAAGATTTGTACGCTGTGCTAATGTGCCTAAATGGTACATTTTGCAAATATTGATTTATTTGGCTTCCTTCTATCTCAAGATTCCCCCACCCTTTTTTTTTTTTTTTTAGAATGCCATGCAGATTGTTGGCTTTATGGATCATGAAACACAATCTGTCTTTGAAGTGGTAGCAGCAGTTCTGAAATTGGGAAACATTGAATTCAAACCTGAATCTCGAGTAAATGGTTTAGATGAAAGTAAAATTAAAGATAAAAATGGTAAGGTGACAGTGATGATGAGGCAAAATATTACTGTTGTTTAAATAATTTGTTCTTGCATTCTGCACCATGTACAGACACAGTGTTAATATGCATATATTCTAGTAGCTGAGGCAAATTATTTCCTTTAATTGTTTTGCACATTATAGGTAAAGCTTGGTGGAATCTTACAAGATGTTTCAATCAAAGTTTGGCATTTAGAAGAACGGATTTTTTCATAAAATTATTTTTCTTTGTTTTGTATGTTATTACATCTTTTTCTGAAATGTTAAATGGAAAATACTGGTTTACTATAAATGAATGGTATTCTTTGGTGGTTTTGTAGCCTGTGTGCATGTGTGTGTGGAGGGCACGGGGGTGTTCAATTTTGTTTTTTCATATTGCCATTCTATCTTAAGATCCATTTACTCCCTTGATATGTGGTATTTTTTTAAGTTGGTGGGGTTTTTAAAAATCCTGCTCAAGAGGATAGGAAGCCACTGAAAATGGTGATGGGAGGTGGCCGGGGGAGTGGAGAAGCCTCATTCTGAAAAACACTGACATGGATTAAACAAAATGTCTTTGGAATTTTTGTGGATGTTTTTAACCATCTCTAGTGGGTGGGAAACTGCTCCAAATTTACCAGATACTATTCTGAAAATGCTCTTCAGTTTTAAATGTAAAATGTTAAAGTTAAATGTAATAACTAAGTATATATAAGTGTGTGAAGAAGTTCAGTCAATATAAACAGTGATATGGAAGTGGTATTTCTATTCATACTCTGGGTTTTTGTTTTGTAGAGCTCAAAGAAATTTGTGAGTTGACAGGTATTGATCAGTCAGTGTTGGAAAGAGCATTTAGCTTCCGTACAGTTGAAGCCAAACAAGAAAAGGTCTCTACAACCCTAAATGTGGCTCAGGTAAAAAGAGATTCCTTTTGTTTTAAAGGGAAACAGTATGTTTGAAGTATGTTTTCTGCTTTGTAACAAAAGTAGAACTGCTGTTCACAAAGTACTTCAAACTAACACTAGCAAAACTAGCACTCTTCATTGTCTTTGATGCATGTTTTGAGTGTTTGACTGTGATTGCTGATGATTTTGTTTTTACATATGAGTCATGTCCAAAAGGAAAGAACATAGGAAGCTTATCTTACATCTTGTGCGGAAATGCGGTAAATGTAATATATCCTGATGTGGCAGACCGTCTTTTCTTTTTGAACAGTCAATTTAATTTAGCATGATTTATACCCACTGGACTGCTTGGAAATTTTTGCTGGTAGCATGAATAAACTCAGCGTGCCACACTCCTCCTCCTTTTTGTAATTTCTCAGCATCCCTCCCTTTCCTCTCTTCTTGCTGCAGCTACTGATATCAAATGCAAGCCAACTTGGGAGTTAGCACATGAAGACCATAAGATATTTTAGGAACAGGAAAAGGCCATCTGGTTGAACATGCCTCTCCTTATTCTTTGTTTATTTATTCCAAACTTCCTGCTTTTTCACCATAACCTTCAGCACTTCCTCTGCAACAAATTAAGGTGTTTCTTAAAATTACTTAGTTTCAATTACTTTCACAATGACTTATTACTCTTGCTATGGAATAGTTCTGGTTGAGTTTCCCACTAATGTCCAATGTTGTATTATCTCATTATAAGGCCAGGGTATGAATGTAGTCTGGACTTGGAGGTGTTATTTAAAAATAAATACATACATACAACTAATTACATGATAATTTTGCAAGTTACACTGAAGTCATCTTGAAGCTTATTGCTTTCTAGTAAGAATAAACTAAATTCCCTAATTTGTCTTTAAGTGAGATTCTTCATGACTGGTCTTCATTGGCTGGTACATCATCTGCCCTAAGGCAATAATATCCTTCTTGTGGTACAGTGACTCTTGCAGCACAGTATTCCAAATGAAGTGTGATTAGTAGTTTGTAGCATCTTGTCTCCTATATTTTATGCTTTGTTAGTACATTTTTCATCTTGCCCATCTTTTGTTGCTGATGTGCAAAGGGACAATGCTGGACAATTTGTTAATTTAGATTAGACCATATTTTCTAGCATGGTGTGGCAGGGCACCTTTGGTAGGCTTGAGTATGCAGCAAAGCAGCCTGCAGGTGACTGCAAAGCCAATCAGGGAGTCGCATGGCAACCTGGAGGGCCTGGCCATTGAAGCTGGGAGCAGGGCTGGCAGTTGCAACTGGGGAGCCAGAAGGTGAACATCTTCCAGCTGGAGTACTGCTGCTCCCAGAGCACGTGGAGGTCAAGGGTAGGAACAATAGGGATGGAGGAGATTCCTGGTCCTGGGGAGTGACCTAAAATCATACCCTGCTGGGGTTGGATGGTGTGGTAGGGCTGCCTATGGCAGGGTGGTCCCCATGAAAGTCCACACCAGTGTCTCCCTAGTGAAAGACAAGTATGGTGCGCCATAAAGCCTCAGCCCTCATGACCTAGTGGGTAGCCTTGGAGAGGGGACAGGCTAAGGGTCCAGGCATATCATCAGAGGCATGAGGCCCATGTGGCATAAGCCCCAGAAGCTCCAGTGAGGGAGTGGAGTAGAGGCCCAGTAGGGTGGAACAGTGGGATCAGGAGGGGTCCAGGATGACTATGTGGCCCACAAGCTCTGAGAGTGGGCACAGTGTTTGGAGGGGCCTGAGAAGGCAGACCCATATGAGAGGGAGAAGGCAAGCGGCTCAACAGCATACCCAAAATAACCTTGAGTGGCCCATACTGGGGCCAGGGCCAGGAAGGTCAAAGGGCAAAAGCGCCCACCATGAATGGTGGCCAGAGCCAGTTGCCTGGAGTCCTGACTGGCCTAGAGGCAAGGCCGTGGGTCCCAGAGGGGACCCACTGCTGCGAGGGAAAGGGGTCTAGGGAGTCTGCAGCCCTGAATGGTGGTAGAGGTTCGGCCGCATGAGTAGCACGGATCCAGGTCGGGGTCCAAATGTCAGCCAGGAACATAGTGAGGCCCAGTATGGAGCTGGAGCCATATAGGGATGCCATCTGCAAGGCATGGGACACAGTAAAAGGGAGCTGTGTATAATGCCCTTGGCATCAGGGCATTAAAATGGGCAGCCTCCCACCTAGAAACACCAATTCAATTATGTCAAAGGTGTGGCAGGAGAGTCAGGTGGGTGTACTGCCCTAGACAGGTGGGCGGGTCGACATTGTGACGGGCCCCAGGGATGGCCCCCTGTCACGCATGAGTTTGTCTCCTCCATATTAAAGGTATTTCTCTACTTTGAATCAGTACTTGCTTTCTTCTCTCTTATTTGCTATAAACAAGTCAAGAACAGATTGTATTGCTTGCTGTTTTCCTCATTTATTTTAATCATTATCATGAAGTCTGCTTGATAGTATCCTTTCTAGTTCAGAGAAGGAATCTAAATAGAAGTAGGAAATGTGTAAGGAGGGGAGAAGAGCAGTGGAGGGCAGGGCATTCTAGATCAAAATTCATATTTGGAGGTTTTTTAAAAAATTGAAAACTATTTTAAGGAGTGCTTGTCATTCCTCTCCTTTCCTTTTCCTTTTTTGTTCTTTTGTCCCTTCACCCTCTGACCTGTTTTCCTATTTCTCTGACTGATTTCAAAGTACAGAAAAGTCAAGATTATTACATACCTTTTGTCCAAAAATAATTGAGTTCATAGTCTCATCTCTTTAGGGAGGGGGCTTCTCAAGAACCTGTTTTTCAGTAGGAAAGCCCTGATCATGTATCAGGTTCACAGATTTAAGTTTTTACTACATCTGAAGTCCTCCTGGAATCCTTGGATGCCTTTTAGGTATATGAATATTCCTTAACACAATACCGTTAAACAAAAGACCAGATTTTTATTTTCTGTCTTGCTCTCAACTGAAATTGGAGTGTGGGTGTTCAGGGAAAGGTAGCTTTAAACCATACTTGTTCTTCCTAAATTTTTGGTTCTTTTGAGTCTGTCAAGCTGCTGGTGTAAGTGAAAGCAGATACTAGACTATTTTAAGTTATGCCCTGGATGCAAGGCTTATTGATCATTTAAGAATAGGAAGGGTATAGTGCTTTCTGGCCACAGCCCCTCCAGCCCTAGGAGAGATTGGGAAGGGAAATTGCATTAAGTGTTCCAGTAGCCCTTCTCTGGACAGAGAACTCTTGTCTACTGGGGAAATTCCTTGAAAGTCGCTTCCGTCCTTCTTATGGCACCTTTAAGAGACTGAAAAAAGTTCAGGGATTAGCCCAGTATTTCTAACACTTTTTTTTTTTTTTTCTTTTCAGAGAGAATATTTTTGTATATATCCAACTA